TAATCACAGCTGAACTCCTGTTAAACTGGGGTACACCGTAATCACAGCTGAACTCCTGTTACACTGGGGTACACCGTAATCACAGCTGAACTCCTGATTTTTATTTTATAATAGAAGACTGATGAAGTCCTGGAGTGAAACCATACATCTGTTCCCTGCAACGCAGCGCCCAAGGCAGAAGCAAGTGTGGAGACTGGGCCCTAACTCAGCCTGCTCAGTGCCAGCTAAATGCACGCCACACAGTGCCCCAGTGAGATCTCGGCTCCTTTTCTGCCAATTCCCACTTCAAACACTCAAAGAGCAAACAAATTAAAGGAACAAGGGAAATGAGAAAGCAGGTATAAGAGAACAACCATTTCCATTCCTTCCTCCTCCTCCTCCTCCTCCAATGCCCATGTTACTTTCTAGATGGACATCAATTACTGTATGCCAGTTACAATTCTCACTACCTTCCCATTTCAGTTTCATTTTTACTCTCAAAGACATAAATATGGACTGAAATTATAAAATGCAAAATAAAACAAAGTGCCCAGAATAGAAAACCAAAGATACCATCCAGCATGTACCAAAGTAAAAGTTCTTTGCTGATAACCACAAACAAATCTTCCTTGCTATTTTTTGGGGGGTTTTGTTTGTTTGTTTGTTTTTTGCGGTTTTTGGCCAGGGCTGGGTTTGAACCCACCACCTCTAGCATATGGGGCCAGCGCCTTCTCCTTTGAGCCACAGGCACCACCCCTTCCTTGCTATTTTAATAAGAACAAAGTTTCATTAAAATTTTCTAAGCTTAACGGACTATATTTATGAAATTTTCTTACCAGTACTCTTGAATACCACATGGGTAGGTCTATCCTTCATTATAAGATCCAAAGCTGACAAGCCTTCTTTATCTTGAATGTACAGACTAACACCATGCTAAAAAAAAGAAAAAAATATCAAGTTATCCATATTCAGTAATTTCCTATTCTTACATATCAACAACTCAGGTAATCAAGCCCATAAATGCATTAAAAAATAAACACTTAATAACAATTATTTCTCCTACTCTCCCACATCTTTCTCTCATACACAGAGGAAAATAACTAAGAGAAATCGAACATCCAATTCTTGGTGGAATGAGGAAGGACCAGACAATGTGAAAAGATAAAGTTAGTAACGTTTTAAATAACAATTAAGTAGATGTGAAAGTCCTCCACAGTGAGCCAGGTCCGCTGCCCACCAGGCCCCCACTCTCTGCCTGTGTCTGTGGGGCGTGCACACGGGCACCAACTCTCCATCTTTACAGGGAACGGCTTTCAAGATCTCCAGACAGTGGTAGTACCGTATTTATAGTATGATTTGCTCTTTATAACATGACCACCTATGTCTCATCTCTTTTTGCCTTGAATTCTATTACTGATAATTAAGACAATTACATTCTATTATTTCCTTTTCTGTCATACATATTTTCTTATCTTTCTAAAGTTTTTATAGCATTAACTGTGATCTCTTGCAAATCACATATAGATTATATCTAAAAAAAACTTCAGTGTATGTGTACATGAGTGTGCTTTAAGTAGAAATTTAAAGTGATTTGTAATTTTTTTATATCCCAATTCAAACCTGAGTTGGTCCACCCCATCCCCATCAGCTACTTTCTGTCTTTTTAAACATAACTGGGGGGAGCAGGGAGGAGCAATGTTCAATTCAAATTATTGATACTTCATTATAGTTGTTGAAATAGAAAATGTATTTCTTATTAAGAATAACTTTTAATGTTTCCTAACTGTTTAATAAGACTTTCAACATTCATTTTGACTTTATCTATTTTAACTGGTGCAAATCATTACTGCCTACCTACATACACAGTTTACTTGGGTCGTTAGTTATAGGCTGAAATGATCGAGGAAGGTTTTAAATTCTAATGGTGACATGCTGGAATATTCTATCTGGGTTAGTCTTGCCACACGGAATTCCTAATAACCTAAACCAATTTTAACTTTACTGTGCTCAAGATGGTTACAGTATCTGATTTCACAAAGGCTATCAAAACATAGTGAAGCTGGGCACTGCCTGTGGCTCAAAGGAGTAGGGCGCTGGCCCCATATGCCGGAGGTGGTGGGTTCGAACCAAGCCCTGGCCAAAAACTGCAAAAGAAACATAGTCAAGTTAGTGAACTAACAAGTAAAACACAAATCAGAAGTGATCAGGCTGGCTTGGTGGCTCAGTCCTGTAGTCCTAGCACTCTGGTAGGCCAGGATGTAAGGATCACTTGAGCTCAGGAGTTCAAAACCAGCCTGAGCAAGAGCAACACTCAGTCTCTACCAAAAATAGAAAAAAATGAGCCAAGCACAGTGGCATGCAGGAGAATGGCTTGAGCCCTGGAGTTTGAGGTTACAGTGAGCCATGAAGACACCACTCTAGCTGGGGTGACAGAGAGAGACTGTCTCAAAAAATAAAGAAGCCATCATCAATATCTTAATAAATATAAAATTGTACATTGCCTACTATTTTCAAAACTAGTTAGATATAATAACTCCACGTGAGAGAACTGAGCTTGATCCTTGTGAGAGTAGAAAGGGTAGATTCAGGGGTAGAGTGTTCTAAGACATGAAACTGACAAATGAAAACCCAGAAACTTAGCTCCCTAGAGAATTTATTTCTCCAGTTTCATAATTCGCCCTGAATTTTGATCTACCAACTGGGCCCTGTTAAAACAACATACATCTGTACCCCCTAAGCAGCCCCAACTGCACAGAGGAGTAGGGCTGGGTGTTTTGTCTTTAGACCTCCCAGATGGACTCTCACAATTTCTAATGTTTACCTTAAACTCTTAAGGTACAAAGACCATTTGTATAGTTATCCCACTTATTTAAAAATCAACTCCTGCTCCAGCTCCTGCTCTGTCAGGAGCAGAAAGACTTCACGCACAGCTGGTTCCACCACCAAGCCCCACTGACGCTGTTGGAGACAGCTGTCAAGAAACACAGAAAACCACTGTTGTTTGTTTTGACTGTCTTCCTCCAAAGCAGAGAGTAAGGTAAGGATGCACAGGTCAGTAATTTCCTTGGGAAGAGACCCCAGAAAGCAGTAGCAGGAAGGGACCAGGAAGCAAACCAAGGGAGGAGGAGAGACCCACGGAGGGTGTGTATCAAGTGCCACTGAGGAGACTCGGGAGCCATCCTGCCAGGATGTTCTGGGCGCCCACACCAGGTATCACAGAAGAATTAACTGTCCAGTCACGGAACACAAGATGCAAGCATTTGCCACAGGCTCGCTTTCCCCAGTGGACAGGAGCAGCTCGCAGGGACTTAACTCGATGGCACTTTCAGCTGGTCTTTGATGGACATAAAGCTCAAGGGCATAAAATAAGAGACACATAATTCACGCCAGAGACAGGTGCAGACACACTGCCAAGAGCTGCGAGAAGCCGGCACCCCCTGGACCCCACAGCTGAGGGTGGGGACAGGTGAGCCAAGACGGCATCACCGGGTAAGCAAAGTCCTGAGCTACTCATCTTTCCAGACTGGTTATGAACTAAGTAGAATGAGTTTATGCCCATATCCTGCCAAAAGAGTCAGGATCAAAAGAAAGAGGATATCCTAAGCCTGTACAATAATTTCCAGTGGGATAAAAGAGGAATACATTCCCCTCTCCTTCTTCCAGGTCTGGTCTTTAAGCTTTACCAGCAGGGTGCTTTTGGACAAACTGGCTAGGTACCCTCCCTAATAGCTATTTCTTCACTGATACTCCCTGGGGGGAATAATGAGAAAGGTACTATTATCATTCTCTTCTTAAAAATAAAACTGAGATTCAAGACTCAGTTGCTTGTCCAAGATGACTCAGTGAGTACTAGACCTAGACAGTTTAGTAGAAAGAGAAGAAAGGAGAAAAGAGAAAGAAAGAAAATATGTATAATGGAAATTATTTCAATCAGTAAATGGTACTACATAAAAGCCACCACGTAAATAATTTTTAAGTCAAACTTAGATGCAGACATTTCCTAATTTGACTACAAGTTCCTAGAGGAAAGAAACTGCTCTGTTCTTTTCTGGGTCTTTCACAACATAACAAAATGCCTATACAAAAGACAATTGTTAAATTTAAAACTCATAGTCATGAGTTACAAAATTTGCTTCACTACTGAAAGGACATTAGGGTATACCTCAGAACACATCATTACTTCAATATTCAGTACAACAAATCTAATCTACTGGATGGGACATCTCACAGAAACTAAGCTGATTTTAATCATCAGCTTCTTTAGAACGCTAACCACTTTACCTCAGCTAAACAAGACACAAACGTACTACTCACAAACACAGTCTCCAAGCAGTGTTCAAAACTTAGCACCCCTTAAGGTAGTAATGATATAGTCATTTAAGAATATACCACTTTAAAAAAAATACTAAAAGATACTGCTAACAATTTTTAACTGAGATGTATTAAACTGGGGCAGTTCTAGCACTTTAAGCTTCTACACAGGCAGAGGTCTGCCCAAAGTAAACTGTACAGCGAAACTACAGGCTTCCCAGTCAGACAGTGCCAGCTACGCTGTGACGCCTCCCACCACCAGACACAGCACTCCCTCTCTCCTGCCCAGGCTGCCCAGCTCTCCAACTTCCAGCTTCTAGTGCTGCCCATTCGTGAAGTGTGCTTTGCTCAAACAAATTCTATTAAATTTATTTTGTCTAAAGTTTTTCTTCTAACAATATATAGGACTGATTAAATGGTAAAATGTCTGGGATTTATTTTTAAATATGAAATGTACATATAACACCAAATTTGCCAAAGTTCACTTTGACATATGTTTAAAATTTTACATCATAAAACATTTAAATGAAAAGAATACATGGCATTTTAATTCCAAGATGAATTACAGCATAAGAGACTGCAAACAAATGTTAAGAACAAATGTAAATCCTTCCTGGAAAACGCGTGGGGTGTATGAAGATGACTAAGAAAAACATACGCCTAGCTAAGTAACAGTTCCACATGGCACCTACCTTTAACAGAGACCAGACACAGTCGATGTGTCCGTAAAAAATGCTTCTGTGCAGTGCCGTCCACCCTGACTCCTTGTCCTTCACCAGCGGGTCCACTCCCCTCTCAATGAGCCAGTCCAGCACACCCCTCTTCCCACAGGAGGAGACCAGGTGCAGGGCGTTCCTGCCAAAGGCATCCTTGACAGTGGCAGCGTTGCAACAGTGGCTGGAGAGGAAGGCCTTAATCTGCTTCTCACTCCCCTTTGTCACCACAGAAAGGACGTCCAAAGCGTGTTTCAGGGAGTGACACTTGGAGGTGCAGTCAGGGATGGAAGAATTCATCCTAACTGTCTTTACACTGCTTACTGCCTCAGAATTGTCAGTTAAGACTAATCTTAAAAATAAAAAAGCCAGGACACAAAAGTGCTATTCAGGAAGAATTACAGAGAATAAATGACCTTTTTAGGATTCTGTGTATAATTTAAATCTTTGTGACAACAGTATAAAACTATATATCTTTATACAATGTTTGGCACGTTAATCAAAAAAATTACAAATAGCTCTATAAAGTTCTTATCAAATACAAGCTCTTCATTTTAAAAAAAATTCCACAGTTTTCAAATTATTCCTGCAGTCAAGCACCAAGGGGGAGTGAGGAGGGGAACTCCCCCTCCACACCGTCTGTCTCTTTTAAATATCCATGATTGCAAGGGTGACCTGTAAGAGAGAGAAAGAGAAAGTAAAAATACAAAACCCACCTCTCATTCCAGCAAGTACTTTACAATACAGCTACCTCCATATTCAACTGTCCTTAATTTCTATTTTTAAAAAGCCTATCAACTTTTCAAGTTCACAGTACTTATATTTACATCAGCCATCCTTAACCTTCTTCCCACACTCACATGAAGGTCAACCTGTTTTTTGTTCTCTGTAGTGGACCTCTTCCCTTCTGGACCTTCACTCCTTCTCTCCTGGTATTTTTACACTCTATCTACTATGATGTCACCACCAGCTATAAACACACTTTACCCTATCATTTTCATAAGAATCCTATCCCAAATCTTTACCACCTAAAACCGTATCACCATCATCATCACCACGACAGCAACAACCAATACTGTCCTGGGTTATGGTCTCTACGGACTGTGGAGCACTGTGCCGTCAGGGTCTCTACCAAGAGCAAAATGCCTATATGCCTCTGGCCAAAAAAGCTGTTTGAGAGAGCAGTGAAAAGACTTTGTGCAGGCATACTTGTGAGAAACTGACGCAGTATCCCATATGGCCAGGTTAGGTGCGGGCCTAACATGACCAAGGCTTTGGCTGGAACAGCATTTCCAACTACATTAAGGAATTAAGGTTGACTATGTAAGGCCAATGAAAAAGCCCTTTGGAAAACTGGCCAGATACCCATCAGTAACCTTTCCTAATCTGTGGTTAAGTGATGAAGGTCGCTTGCTGACCGGTCCGGGAATGGAAATGTGCTCAGGGACCTCAAAAGAAGAGGAATTTACCCAATGCATACAGGTATCTAATGCCACAAATGAAACCTGGGCTCATGAAAGGCTTTTGGGAAGTCCAGCCTGAAAATTCCTTATAAAAGGCTCCAGCAAAAACCCCCTGACTTAAGGCCCACATGGTGGCAGAGGTTTGCACACAAATTTCTGCATGCCCTAGAAGTTTGTTTATGCCTTGCTTAAAGATATGGAGTAACAGCCTCCAAAAGGCAAGGTCAGCAAGGGCAGGTATTCAATCTACCTTGTTCCTTCCTAGCCTCAGGCATTGTCTGATAAGAACAAAGAAGTAATGGCTGACAACATGTTCTCCATTAAGTTATGTTAAACTGGGTTATATGCAGAGGGTTATGTCAAAGGGTATACGTTTGGATTATCGGAAGCTAATCACAAGGTAGTCACATGATGTTTAAAGGGATCAATGAGGTCATTGCTGTATTGTACACATGTACAAAATTCCCTACATAACCAACTACAAATAAAGAAGCTCGCAATTTTGCCTGAGTGAGTAGATGGTCACCTTTATTTATTGAAGCACAATTTCAATAAGCGTGCTTATTCTCTGTGACATCGCTTTTTCTGTGAGACCCTTACAGCAACAGGGCACTGTGCCCTCAGGGTCTCTACCAACTGTGGGGCATTGTGCCGTCACGTTCTCTACCAACTGTGGGGCATTGTGCCGTCAGGGACTCTAACCGACTGTGGGGCACTGTGCCCTCAGAGTCTCTACCGGGTGCAGGACACTGTGCTCTTATTCTCTCAGCCTAGAGGTGCTTCCGTGCAGGAAGAGGGGACTATTAAACAAAAGGCATCAAAACTACTAGAGCGTTACCCAGAGAAAAGCTTCAGTCACTTACTGTATGCAGTCACTACTGTATACCTTAGGTCAAATACTTTCTAGGTGGTTCAAAGGCAAATAACACAAATGAAACCAGAGAGCACTTGATAAAAACAAAGGAGATTCCTTCATAATCACACAGTACTAAAGGCCTTTCTAGGTATGATCAGAAATTCAAAAGTCAGAAAAAAGATTAATATGGTTTAAAAGCTACATTTAAAATTGTAAAGACAAAGAAAAACTTTCCCTAATATTCATTTTTTGAGACCAGGGAAAAGCCATTACAGACTATTCAGAGGGACACATATGAATTTATTGTATGTGAAAGGGACATTTCTATGCATAACACATAGATATGAAATTCTCCAATTTCCCATTCCCAAAGCAAACCACATTGAGAGTTAAATGTCTGAGCTCTAACAAGTTTTCTGTTGTTGACTAGTCTGTTATCTCCATCTGGAAGTGAGAGCATTGAGCTAGGAGATTCCTAATCCCTCCTATTTCTGGGTCTGTTTCTACTCATCTATACATTTTGCAATTTGATACAATCCTTATAAATATCATCCCTGCCAGGCACGGGGCTCACACCTAGCATCCCAGCACTTGGGAAGCCAAGATGGAAGGATCGCTTAAGGCAGGAATTCAAACTCAGCCTGGGCAACATAGCAAGACTCCATCTCTACAAAAAGAAAAAAGACAAAATTAGCCCAGCATGGTGGTATATGACTGTAGTCCTAGCTACTCTGGAGGATGAGACAGGAAGATCTCTCGAGCCCAGGAGCTGCAGGCACAGTGAGCTGACTGTACCACTGTACTCCAGCCTCGGCAACAGAGAGATATTCTATTTCCAAAAAAAAAAAAAAAAAATCATTCCCCCTTAAAATGTTGATGTGGTGTCAAAGCCTGGAGTTGAGGCCACTGACTGGCTGGCGACTCACAGGCACAGGCAGTGCTACCTGAGGGGCACCTCTGCCCAGGGACTGGAGTGGATAATCCTGGCTACAACTGTAATGTAAAAAATTAAAAAAAGATTTGACCAAAAAGCAAAGAAAAGAAATAAACAAAAAAGAGGTAGCTGGTGGAAAAAGGAAAAGGCAACAAAGCCTCCAGAACTTTGAAATGTTAAAAGTGGAAAACATAAGACCGTAGTCCCCCATTGGCCAGTTTTGCTTTCCATGGGTTCAGCTACCCACAGTCAACCAGAGTCTGAAAATATTAAACGAAAAATTCCACAAGCAAACAATTCCTAAGTGCTAAATATGTCTATTCTGAATAGGGTGAAGAAATCTCATCCCACCCTGCACTGGACCACCCGGGACGTGAACAACTCACTTGTCCAGCAATCCACATGGTGCACCCACCCGCCTCTCAGTCACTTAGCAGCCGTCCCACTTATCAAATTGAAAAATGTGTGTACATACAGGGTGGGCACTATCAGACGGGTGAGGCATCCACTGGGTGTCACAGAAAGTGTCATGGGAGGATAAAGGGGGACTATTATACATGGCAAAATGGTCACATGTACTTAATTCACTCTTTAGAGGCTCCGAAGTTACCATCTTTGTGTTTTCAGTGTATGCATAATACCTGAAAGGAACCATTTGTTTAATGAACCATTCAAACCTTACAAGAAAGAAAGAAGATAGAAGAAATCTCCTTAATTAGTATATACAATCTAAACATTTAAGGGGCGAGAATAACAAACATAAAAGTCATACTGCCACAGATAAAGAGAAGCACACGCAGAATACTATGAACACGAATATGGATGTGATTAAGAGCTAGGATTTCTTAGAGTTCTACATATTTGGATTTAAATATAACAATGCTGGCTGTTACCAGTTATGTAACTCTGAAAAAGACTGCATAATTTCTCCAAGTCCTCATTCCTTCATTTAGAAAAAGAGATGACACCAACCTTACAGGGTAACTGTAAAGATGAATGAGACACCCTAGCATGGTCCTGACACCAAATGTGCATTCACCAATCCAGGAGAGCCTCCAAGTTAACCAGCTCCCTACACCCACCACCCCCTTAAATCAGGCGTCCTCAAAACTATGGCCCACGGGCCACATGCAGCCCACCTAGGACATTATCTGGCCTGCCGGGTGTTTTTCCACCGCTGCCTGTCCTGCTTAGCAGCCGACTCATTCTGGGGCCTGCAGTCCGGCTCTCCAATGGTCTAAGGGACAGTGAACTGACCCCCCATTTAAAAAGTTTGAGGACCCCTGCTCAACCAGACATGCACCCCACATGCACCCCAGTACAGTAGGCCTTGTTCCTCACATCGACCACCTCCATGTGCTGACCAGTTGCAGCCCCTTCCGTGGTCAACTTACAGAGGTTCTACTGTTCTATTGTAATAGTTTTCATTGCTACTATTTCTTTATTAACAAAAAGGTAGTAAATTTTAGTCTCCAAATTCATGTTTGAGCATCAATCTCACTGCAAATTGCATACTTTTCCAACAAAATCATCCCTCACTAAAGTTCCTAGTGTTCTCCAAATTACCAAAAACTTTTGGATATTCTCAATTCTTATCTTATCTGTCTTCCCTACTTGTATGTTTTTAACACCACATTCCCTAAAGGAATCCTGAAAGGGCAAGAAGTCACTCAGGAGGCTTGTGAGCATGGGAGCGCTCTCTCGGCTCCGTCCCAGAGCACCGTCCTCTCCCCGACCTTCAAAGGCTGGGCTTCTCTGGCCCGGTCCTCTTTTTCTCCTACTTAATTCTCCTTGGATAGTTCCAATCCCTTTCATCTCTCTATGCATTCAAAAAATGCTTACTGAAGGGGATAAAAGCAAAGGGAATAAATATTTATAGACTATCTAATACATACTGGATAATTTATATCACAAGCAGGCTAAGTAAACCACCCAAATAAAACCACTAGTAAAAGGGGTTAGAATTCAAACCTGAATCTATTTAATGATAAAGTCCATGGCATTTCTGCCACTCTGCACTGCCTTCCCCAGCACATCCACAGGTCACAAAGCATTAGGAATACAAAACTAAATAGGACCTAAATATTTTAAATAAAATACAGGTTCATGGATAATATGCATTTAAGCAGATGCACAGCTACTTTTACAAGTATTGGCTGAACAAAATGTATTATTTAGTGCACTGTCTCTGTCATCAAAGGGTCTCAGCTTAATAGAAGAGTCAAGATAAAACAGTGACACACAGGCACGGGGGTGGACAGGAGGGTACAGACACGACCACGTCCTACGGGAGGAGCAGGAACACAGACTCAGCCTGCATGCAGCGTAGGAGCACATTCACGGCAGAGAACATAGTAAAGAGAAAAGCTCTACAATCACTTTTGTCCATTCTGAAAATTCTGAGTAATTCACAAGACAGAAAGGAGGCCTAAAATATACACAAGCATGGTACAGATTTTGAACAACCTTATGTGCCTTTCCTTAGAGATAAAAACGTGAATAATTCAAACACATATTTAGGACTTTAAATCGACAAATCACAGCAGTAACTCCCAAGTTTCTGGCCTGGATGCCAGCTAGTGCACCTAGGAAGAAGAGTTAGGGCTAAAACATTTTGGAAATCAGAAAAGCAAAACAAACCTAAACATAACAAGAAACAAAAATTATAGTGAAAGTTTCACTATAGGAAATGGAGTTGTAAGAAGGTAGGTAGCTACAGGCAATGTTTCAATCCTGAAGACTGGACCACCACAAAGGCTTTAGCCAAAGTCACCCCTGAACAAGAACTCACCATCCTTCTTCTTATCCTTGGTTAATGCACAGTATCTTCCTAAAACACAAATATGACCCTGCTATTTCTAATATACTGAAAACCAAAATGAACCAGTACCTCTGTCTCACATGTGAAGAAAGCCTTTGACCTCGGGAACAGGATAACAGGCCTACAAATTCATGCAGCATGGGTAAAGTTCAGATTCTTAACTCAGAATATCTGAACCAGTAACCCAGGTACACCACTAACTGGCTAAATCACCCCAGGCTTGATCACTTAATTTCTCAGTGTTTCAGTTTTCTCAAGTGTATAAAGGGGATTAACAACTATTTACCTCCTGACTTTTTTGGAAAATTAAATGAGACTATTCACTCATTAAGTAAGTACCCAGCAAAAGTTAAGAAAAAAGAAGGGAAAGAGACATAATGGTAAAAAGGACAAAAAAACTATACTAGAGGCCTTTCTGGTTGGAATGCTTTTCACCTGAATTTTTTTTTTTTTTTTTTGTCCAGGGCCAAAATTTGAATTTGAATTTGAACCTGCCACCTCTGGCATATGGGGCCGGGGCCTCACTCCTTTGAGCCACAGGCGCTGAATTTTTACAAGGCTACCACTGCCCCGTGGCTTACAAATATAATTCCTACCATCTTTTGCAGTTTTTTGTTTGTTTGTCTGTTTTTTTGCTGGGGCTGGGTTTGAACCTGTCACCTCTGGCATATGGGGCCAGCGCCCTACACCTTTGAGCCACAGGCGCCACCCAATTCCTACCATCTTTTGAATGTTCACACCATTAGCATAATGCTCCACATAAGTTAACTAATTTATTCATGTCGGCCTCTTTATTGCCCCTGTAAATATCAACCTTCTTTTTACAATGAAGAAACTGATGAGAAAATTTAAGCAGCCTATGCAAAATCACACTGATAGAAAAGTATGCTGCATTCTACCCATTCCACTCTACCAAACTGCTCTCGCAATATGTAATGAGGAAATCTTCAGTGACAAGTAGTATAGTGTAGTAGAAAAAATTATCCTTCCTTGTAGTCATAAGAATTTTATTCCTACCCTAACGTCTAAAAAAAACCCTGGACAAGGAACTTAAAATCCCTAATCCTCAATTTTTTTCATTTGCAAAAATGACAGTAATAACCTGCCTTATAGGTGTATATCTTGCCTACACACAAAGATTTTAAGCCATGCAAGGGAGGTGAGAGGGGAAAATGCTACAATAGTTTACATTTCTCACAAAAGATTATATGAACTTGGTAAGTAGGGTTTTTTAAAGTGCTCTCTAAAACCAAGATAACTTCTGTATAAACTTGTTTCTGTGTTAAATTAAAACCACTGTTACAAGCTACAAAATATAGTGACTCATAAAGAATTTTAAAACTTCCTCTGTAAGTCCTAAAAATAGTTCACAACAGTTTTAAAACACAGCACTTACTACTTTAGAAAATTAATAATTTAGCCTCATCAATACTATGTAATATTCTAATGTTTTCTCAAATATTCTCTGGGTACAAGATATGGAAACTTTAGCTCAATATTTTACCAGTGAAATACCCAGTTTTGCAATAGATGTGGAAAAGAATTACTGCCCTATCTATGATAGTAAATTTTGTATTGTTTATAATAAGGAACCAATTAATACAGAGCTCCTTTATTTAATAGATACGTTCGTTAATGATCTATAGTTTTTTAAGTTTCAGAAGCACTGTTAAGAGTTTTTAAAAATGTTGTAAGTGCTTTACTTGGAATTTAGCATACTAAAAGTCTTTCCCATAAGTTAATTTAAAAAACGGAACACAGCCATTTGTAAAAATGTCCAAGTAAACTCTGGTGCGACTAAAGTTTCTGCAAACATCTGTGATGTAATTCTTTCTAGAAAACAGTTCCTTCTATCTTCTTCTACTTCAGTTTCTAAAACAAAAATCAAAGACTCGAAATAGAAAAAGAAGAGGAATTATCAGAAAGGTGCTATGGAGCCTTTGAATCTGCAGCACGCGGTGGGTATGGAAACAACACTCCCGCGAGTCCCACCTTTCAGTATTTCTGATCAATTCAAATGCCCCACCTCAAGGCGCGAGTGAGAAGGCGCTACATCAATCTCTGCTTAAAACACCCAGAAGTCTCAGGAATTACGTTGGAAAACAGGAGTGAGGGGTGGCCTAGGTTTGCCTCACTCAAAGCGGAGCTAAACTTTTGGACTCTGACAACTCTCGTTCTCTTTCTGTCCCCCCCAAAAGCACCAGCTCTTCCCACACAGCAGTCTATTTCCACCTAACTTCCTGCTGCCCTCCGCTGGTCTCCCCGACCTTAGCCCAACCCCCCGCCTCCAGCGTGAGTCTCTCTGACCCTAACCCAGCCCCCACCAGTCAGCCTCCCTGACCCTAACCCAGCCCCCGCAGGGTCAGTCTCTCCTACTCTAACCAAGGCCCCACCGCCCCAGTCAGCCTCCCCGACCCTAACCCAGCCCCCCACCCCGTCATGTCTCCCCTACTCTAACCCAGCCTCCCCCAAAGTCAGCCTCCCCGACCCTAACTCAGCCCACCCCCTAGTCAAGTCTCCCCTACTCTAACCCAGCTTTCCCAGGGTCAGTCTCTCCAACTCAAACTTGGGACTCCACCGAGGGGACAAGGGACATGGGTGGTGCATCGGGACCGCTTCAAATCCGAGGTTCCAAGAGGACCAACACCAGACCACTAGCGGCGCTGGGGAGGCGCAGCGGTCAGAGGGCGTGTCCAGCAGGACTGCAACGTAGACGGCCGCCGGGACCCGCCATTCATTAGCCGAGGGGGGCGGGAGGGAGGCGGCGGCAGGGAGCGAGGCCACTTGGCTCGCCCAGCGCGCAGCCAGGGCTCCCCGGGCCGCCCCCCTCCAGGGGCCGCCGAGCCGCCGGCGTCCACGGTCCCGGCCCCCTCCGGAGGGCGACTCCTCTCCCACCGCCCCTGGGCGAGGGGATGCGGCCGGGCAGCGCCGAGCCCGCCTCACCAGTCGCTAGTTGAAAGTGCGCCGGTGGTCTCCGCGGGGTCGACGCGCAGCCGCGCAGGGACTCATCCTCAGTGAAGACGACAGGAGAAAGCGGACGGCGCCAGTGGGGGCCGGTGCCCAGGCCCGGGTCGGCTCAGGCGGCCGCTACAGCCACAGCCGCGACTACTAGCGCCGGGCGGGGGACGGGGAGCGCGCCGGCCGGCCGCACGCAGGAATAAGGCGGGCGCTGATTGGCGGGGGCCCGTGTATGCTTCGTGCCTATTGGCCGGTGCCCGCCCAGCGGCGTCGGGTGGCAGCTCCGGGGCCGGGCTTTGCCCGGCTCCGCTAGGATCTTGACCCCGCCGGCCTTGGGGCCACCGGCTCAGGCCGGGGGGTGAGGCCGGGGGCGGGGAAAGGCCGCCTCCGGGGACTCTAGGCCAGCAGTAATGGTGGCAGTACCCCCCTCGGGAACAGCCGTCTGTGAGGTAGAAACATCTCTCTCCCGGCAACGGGAGACTTGGAAAGAAGGATAAACCCGGGTGGAGATGATAGTGGGGGACCTCCGGCCAGCACGCCTCGGATCCAAATGCACAGAAAGTTTCCTCCCGCAGCCTAGTCGTGGGGTCACCGGCAGGCCAGAGGCGTCGCGTCCCGAAGCCGCAGCCTCGCCCTCTGGCTCGCCCGGCACCGGGATTATGGGATTATCGGGAGGCGCGCCCGCGGTCCCAGGCCGCTGCCCTCCTAGGTCGCCACCTTGGGGCCGGCTGCGACCCGCTCTCGCCACTCGGTGACTGACAGCAAGCTTTCCCCACATTAACTGTGAATCTAAAGGCCATTTAAAGCGTGGTCGGGTGAAAAATGTTAGAGCGGAAGAGGGGCAGTAATCAATACTAGGCACACGACCGAGAAGCACGTCTGCTGGGTGCTGCCCGGCGCGCTGGGCAGGTGTTTGTTCAGGGAGGGGCGGGGTGACTCGGGCCACGCAGCACTAGGGTCAGCAGCTGGCCATAGGGCTCTGCCACGTCATGAATTTCACAAGCCCATTTGTCTCTCTCACCTGTAAAGTAAAAGATTTGCCCTAGATGTCTTTTTAGGGCCTGCGCAGCTTTACTTACTGTCCGTGTAGCCTTTGTGGGCAGGGAGGTTTACCAGCCCAAAGTCACAAAGCTAGTTAGCGAAGAAGTAGGAGACTAGTGCCCTGCTGCCCTTCCCAACACGACGTTCTGTTTCTGTGCCTTTTATTCTGAGTGCCCTTACGTTCTACAAAACAAACACCGGTTTGTAATGGAAGAATTGAGTGATTTTGAAAATAATCTACACATAACTTTCATTTTCATGAACAAAGAAACCAATAATAGCAAATAAAGCTAATAATGAAAATAAATGCATCGACCTGAGTTCAGATCTTTTATCTCTTTTGTCTCTTACTGGTGTGTGAACATGTTAATTAGCTTTTCTGAAGCCTAAGTCTTCTCATTTCCTTAGACCTGAATTATTTCAGTCCATTATTCATTCTTTAAAAATTACCAAGTCTCGAGCACTGTAGTAAGCACAGCCGATGCAATATTAAACAAAAATACATGTAGAAAGATAATTCATGTGATCCAGATAATTCCAAACATAAGAATAAGTTGTACCTTCTACAAGTATCACAAAGAATACTATGATAGAATTCTAACTATTCCAGGAAGTGACACTTGAACCAAAATCGGAAGAACGAGTTGGAGACACATAGATGAAGCCGGGAAGAAAGAACATTCCAAGCTACGGATCTGGAACTGCTCGCCTTTCCCTGAAGGTGCCTTCGACATACTGGTTATTTACAAGACAGAATATTAAATAGGAAGATGTACAAGTGAAAACAATTAAATGAAAACTGTACATGTGTTTGGGGAGGAAGAAATCAAAATTAGCCATTATGTTTATTTTATAAAAAAAAAAATTGTGTTGCTATGAGGACAATTAATGACAATGCCGTGGTGGGGCACGGGGGAAGGGAAGAGCAGACAGAAGGAGGGAGGGGGTGAGGGTAAGGACAAGAAAAAAAAGAAAGAAAATAGTAACTAATTCTCACATAAACTGGATTCAATTTTGACTAAAGTTCATTACTTAGACATTAATTTTTACTTCAATTTGTTAATATGTTGTTTAGGTTACAGGATACTGCATCCTCATTTAAAAGTGAATTATTTTGTAATTTTCCCTTTATATTAATATATTTTTTCCAATTTTAATATCAGGTGTATCCAGATTAAGCATATTGATTTTGAAGTATTTCTTCTCTATAAGATTTGGTATGATCTGTTTTTTGAATTATCTTTTATTTTTATTTATAAATATTACTTGTCTATTTTTTGAGACTTTGGGAAAAAATAAGAAGTTAATTGATGACTCCTTACTGAACCTCAGAGTCAAAGCATTCTATAATAGACATACTATTATTGGACAATGTGAATGTTACTT